GTTGGATGTTGGGTGAGTAGGCGCATTGACATAGATACCGATTGATATGTGGGGTTTAACATTCCAAAACCACCATATAATTATGAAAGACACCGTAGCGGAGGGCTCCGAAAATTTCGACCACTTCGGGTTCTTTAACGTGCACCCAAATCTGAGCTCGCGGGCCTACAGCATTTTCTACCTGCACCAAAAATTCAGCCGCCGCTGCTTCAATTCGATCCCACGACATGCGGGTCAGCAGCCGAGTACCTCAGCCACTAGACCACCTCGGCGGGGCTTTGACATAAAAACCTTGGTGAGGGCGCATCTAAACACAACACAGAGAAAGAAACAGACGAGAACAGGCGCAAACTACGAACGGGTTGATACAAGGACGATCCACATTATTGATGACACATCAATATCTTGCACTGGGGCACCCCCACAACAACCAAGAAAATTCAAATTAGGCGAGACAGAAATTGAAAATTCAGCATTGTACAGCGCAATAGAGGTTTCACTCGTGCACACGCCACCTGCTTTTTTTTTAACTAAAACGCTTCTAGCGTTTCGCGAGCCGTTTTATCGTTACTTCTGCCTAGGATTTGACTATTTCTTCCCAGGATTGTGATTTGCGATATTGGTGTGCAAAAATCTTAGGCAGAAGTATATAGATAGAACGGCTTGCCAAACGTTTGGAGGTTTTCTTATTGAAAAAAAAGTGACGAGTGCGTGAGTGATTGCGCTTTTAAAGTGCTGATTTCCAAATTTTTCTCGCTTGCTTTAAATCTATTTGGTTGTTCTGGCGGTGCCCCTGTGTAGGATATGTATTGTAAAGGTGTTTATTTTGCTTGAATGAATGAGTGCGTAGTTTGCGCGTGTCTCGTCTGTTTTTTTTCTGTGTGTTACGTTTAGTGTCGCCCTCATGATTGTTTCTACGATTAGTGGGGCGAAACGTCCCATTGTGCATCTATGCTTCTTTCAGTCCACCCATCTATCACACTAGCGACCCCCGCTGAGTGGGTCATAAAACTAGGGGTTATGAACCGGTCAGACATGCATGGACAGACCCACGGCTTTACACTGTAAGCAAGAACTATCCGAAATTGAGGTTTCTGTGGTTCATGACCACTGAAAACTCTCTCCCATTTAAAATTAGTACCTCATGTTGGAATAAAAGATGGTAAATGACATAGTTTACCACCACCTCTGAGTATATATATATATATATATATATATATATATATATATATATATATATATAAGTAAAATCAGTGTAGGCCTAAGGGCTCGTTTTTTCTTGTTTGGCACAATATTAGTGAGCATATTATTACTGACTGACCGACCGACCGACCGACTGACTGTGGCTGACTGACTGTGACTGACTGAGTGACTGAACTGACAGCGGTCACGCTTGTAGTTGTCAGTGTATTCGAAAATGCAAAACATTAACCAAGTGCTGAGGATGTTAGGTTAAAAAACTGTTTATTGATCAAGCTGTCGCGTGCCGAAGTATGTTTCTTCCAAGACAAACGTATCAAAAAGAAGCACCAGGGCCATTGGATGAATTTTCTTGCCGTCTTTCTTCAGTGGAGGACACGCCCACCACTTGTTGTGACACATGCGGTGCTTGAAGACCTCGTCTTCTGGAAACACCTCATTGTTTGAAAGCAGAATGACGAGTGTCCTGGAAATGGTCTGGTCAGCAGTGTATTTGACAACCGCCGAGTCTAATCCACCACCAAAATTTTTTGAGAGTACCAAAAGCAGATGACTCACAGTTTGGCTCGTTCCATACCAGGATGCGACAGCCCATGGTGTCCTGTAGTGGAAAGCTAGTGTAGCGGTTAAAGTTACGAATTGTATCGTGGTTAATGTAAAATTAAGAAAACAGGATCAAAAACAAAAGTTTTTGCCTGCACTCGCAGGGGACAGAGTTGCAAATTTTGTGTGGGGACCACCTTCTTGACCAGGCTGTACAGGTTTTTGACGAAGGCCGAAACTTCCTCATAAATGCCGTGAAACTGTAAGTTTGAAAGTATCATAATAACATCAAACGACATGGGCACGTCCATGTAAGAGGTAGTGATGTTGCCATGTGGGGTGTGAAGGAGTGACTGCGTGTTTTTGTACATTTCAATGAAGTAGAGAGTGGTGTACGAACAAATTTCATCATTAAACACTTCAATTGCTCGTTGAATGCACTTGTCGCCAGGCGAATAAACAGAAAGACCGGGTCCACCGGCCACTTGGGGATGCGCACATTGTTGCTCAATGGCGATACGGGGATTTCGCGTGGTCAGTTCTAGATGGATTTTCCGATGCTCCTTTTGCGCGCTTTCGGCACTTTGACCCTTCCCTGCGCATACTTGTCAGCGTCTCCACCGCTCGTCTAACCTCCATGGGCGTCGTTACATGCAACTGAATGTGGCAGTTTCGTGTGCGGTATTTCCAAAACTCAGGCCGATTTCGTGTCCAGGATCTTAGAAATGTCAGAAATCCCCATGTCTATTGTCACGACCCCAATCTCTTTATCCCACTTTAAGGTATTCTAGTAGCCGGGGCTCAATCGTGAGATACTAGACGATATTGTAAAGGTCCACTGCGCTGATGTTTGTAGATCGAATTGGCGAGCGATTTGGTCATGTGACGAAGCCAGCGAAGATGACACATCAGCATGTGCCATTGCTCCAGCTGCAGTCGTGTAGGACGTAGACGTGTGGTAGAGTAGTTCCTCGGGTGTAGAGTGCGACTGGCAGCGATTCCGTACTGGGTGGGTGCTTGTTCAAATCTTCTGACAATATCATTACAAATTGTCTCAGCTTGTCCATCACCTCGAGCGGAAAACACAACATGTACAAGCTCTCTTCGTTTGCGAACTGAGTGTAACAGCAGTTTCCAGCGTGGAGGAGATTGTAAACTTTTATCCATCTCCTCTAGCCACTGTTCCTGGTTCGGACACATTTGAATTTGATACTTTCCCCACGCCTCAATCAGGTTCCGCAAATGTCGCCATGGTTTCATTGTGTCATAGGCACTGTTTTCATGGCTTGAATAATAAAACTCTGTAGTCTGTCCCGGGGAGTATCGATGGCGTCACCAAAAAGCAATTACAAACGGTAATACAGCGGCACGGCGTTTTCTTACTCATAATGCTGACGTTTACGTGGTTCTGTCATAGTCTCTATTGAAAAGGCAAAAAAGCAACAATTCACAGTGTAGTATAATCAAGTAAAAAATTGGCAGATTTCACGTACAGTGGGAATCGATGATATGCGAAGCACGAATGAGAAATGTTGATATGACATTTTAAAATCGGCACAACATTCCGAGGTGGAGGTAAATGATGCCGTACATGACTTGCGTGTCGTGATTATCATGTTTGGATGTGCCGTTTACCTTTTTCATCTATTCACGTCACGTGATACCAAATTTAGCATATGTGGAGCTAGCAAAACGGCCGCGAGCACGCTATGAGCGAGGTATGTTTACATGTTCTTACATGACACGCGTGTCAGGATTATCATCTTTGCACCATACATATATTTCGTCATCCGTTGACGTCTCGTAACACCAAATTCGGTATATGTGGAGCTAAATAAACGGCCGCGGGCGCAACATGAAGGGCCCAATATACTCCAATGTAGCCCTGACGTGCGCGCACGCCGGGCACAGCGACGCAACTTAGCAAAACAAGAGCACTCTATAGTCTCACGCCAGGAGCGACCAGCGTTCTTCGGCGCGGCCCGACGGCATTCAGCGCGAAATGTGGTATGCGGCGTTTCGTGCCGATGCGTTACCAAGACAACACTGCGTCTCCCTTTTTTTTTGTGACGGAGGGACGCCGGAAGCGCTGAAACGCGCATACGTAAAAGCAACGCAGCGTGGCGTGCGCCTGCGAATGGAAGGACTGGCGCCTGGAGTGGCAACGCAGGCGTGACGCGACGAAATGACTGCTGGCGAGCACGCGCACTGCGTTATGTCATAATGTGTTGGCGCCTTTGCTGTGGCAAGTATTCATGTTATCACATGACGCGCATCTCATAATTATCATACTTGCACTAGTCACATACCTTCGTCATCCATTGGTGTCACGTAATACAAAATTTGGCATATGTGACGCTAGCCAAAGTGCCGTGAGTGCATATTCAGTGTGGCATGTAGAGATGTTGTTACGTGACACGCATGTCGTGATTATCATGTTTCGATGTGTAAATTACCTATGTGGTCCAATCCCGTCGCGTAATACCGAGCTTCGTACTTGTGAAGCTAGCGAAACGGCTGCGAGCGCATCATGAGCGTAGCATTGTAGTCATGTTGTTACATGACACCCATCTCATGTTGTTCATCTTGACACCAGTAGCATACCTTCGTCATCCATTCGCGTCCCGTAATACCAAATTCGTATAAGTGAACCCAGCTAAACGGTTGCCAGCGCATCATGAGCGTGGAATGTAGTGATGTTGTTACATGACACGCAGCTCATGATTATCTTGTTTGCACCAGTTACATACCTTCGTCATCCACTCCCGTAGTGTAGTACGAATTTTGGTATATGTGACACTAGCGAAACGGCCGCGAACACATCATTAGCGTAGCATGTAGTCATCTTGTTACATGACACGCATGTCATCATTCCCATGTTAAGGTCTGTGACTTGTGTTCGCCATGAAATCCTGCCATACCATACCTGTTTTCCAACATGCAATCTGAACGAAAGCCCCTTAAGAATTGCAGAGCCATGAAATGTATATCATGACATTCATGACATATACGCCATGATTTTCATGTAAATATGTTCTTTATACAGTCATGTTAGCCCATAGAAAGTTTGGTATTGATACCAGTATTTAAACGGCCGCGAGAACTGAAAGTCATAGGCGGATAGATAAATAGATAGATAGATAGATAGATAGATAGATAGATAGATAGATAGATAGATAGATAGATAGATAGATATGCTCAAAGTCTCACAAGTTCGCGAAGAAATGCTTCGTATTTAAAAGGGTGCAGACTCTCACCGAAGGCGTCTTTAATGTCTGCTTGAGGTCCTCTTGTGTGGACAGTCGGTTGGCGTCTGCAATTTTTGAGCTATTAAAGACCCCTTTATATACCCTTCGTGGTGGCTTTCGAAACCTGTTATAGATAGCATAGAAAAACCCAGCTCTTGCGAGAGCTTGCAGGAGAGTCTAGCTCTTTCGCAACTTCTAGTTAATATTCAATACTCTTGCGAGATGACGAAGCATTATGCAATGCAGGCAAGATTTTATAGTTAGTATGAAAAAACACAGCTCTTACGAGACTTGTTATGCAGCTTGCAGGAGACTTATTGTGATTCTAAGCAGGGGTTCACTACATATTTTTCTCGTATGCCGTTGTCTTCGTAGCTCCACTCAGAAAGTGTATATATATAATATATATATATATATATATATATATATATATATATATATATATATATATATATGTATAATGTGAGTGAGTGTGTGTGTGGTTAAATATGTACCTTCTTAGTCTTCGATGGCAGCGACAGCAACGCTCCAGTAATAATAATAAAAAGTCAAACAAAAAGCTTAGTTTATTCTTGCTTTTATTGTAAAAAAAAGGCACCAAGCGTTGGCTTTTTGAGACCGAGTAATGCTACTGTGCTTCCGCAGTTTTCAGGAGCTTTGCCTTGTGTTCGGCCACCTCGGTTTCCGTACGGGCAAGGTTTACTGGACGTTCATGACGTGTGAGGCTGCTGTAACTTGCTTTGGTGTTCTTGTTGGCTTGACGCAAGTACGGCACCACGCTTGACAGCAGAGTGACGCTGTCGGCTACTATGTCGCCTACGTCCGAATTAACCACCAATTCTGTGTATATTTGAGAAAAAGCGGCAATGCCTTTCAGAAGGTTCAATACTGCCGATATTGTCGTTGTTCGACTTGCTTACCGCCAACACGCCGAAACTCAAACTCGGTTGAACCGTGCAGTGTGTCTTCAGGTTTAAACCACGGGTGAAGTAAGTGTTTTCCGTGGGGTCTAAGTATATCACGTGGCGCATGTGCATATCGTCGGGTCGAAGTCGCATGGTGACGTTTAGATCTGGCTTTTGCTCGTACGATTCATAGTTTGACAGGTTGCTAGTAGTGTAGCATACAACGTCAGTAGCCAGGCCTAGCTATGTTCGAGTTAGCAACTAATTCCCCGCGTTGTAAGTAGGACCCATCTTTAGCCGTGCGTCACCTCCAAACTGGTACTCATAGTTGACTATAGGTGTGCCCACGTGACCTTTGAAAGGAAACTGGTTGACAAACTTGGTCAAGCGGCAACTAGCCTTGTCAATGTGAATAAAGTAGGTAGGCACAGTTGTGTCGCGACACATCCATGCAAGCAGTTGTGCTCTTTTTGTCGTCGTCATCTTGCTCGTCGTTTCGCGGTGTGATTTTAAGGCCTCAGTAGCTCTTAGCCAGATCAGAATGGTCCTTCTCCTGAAATGATGTGTGAGACTGCGGTTTCATTGGGTTTTTCGTCTTGCCTTTCTTAGCACGGCACATGCCTGTATTCAAGAAGTGGTTCAATCCGACGGAGCTAAGACCATAAACTAGCATGTAAGAGTTGACAGGTTGGACAACCGAACAGCCAGTCTTCCAAGGAGTGCGTAGACCATGAAGAGCGACCTTGACAGGGCAACTCACAGCTCTTGTGTGAGATTGTGTGTTAAGGTAGGTGCCGTGAGGAATGTAAAGATGTGACTGGTCCAATGTCAAGCGCGAGAGGCTAGTTAGAACTTCTGGAAACGTTTTCTCGGTGTCATACGCTAAATTCGTCTTCAGCATTGCTTAGGCCTAAGTGGTGAGTATTTTGCTCTCACGGAAGACTGTGACCACTCCGTGGTTATGAGACACGCGCAAAATCTGCTGAACGAGTTCTGCGGAATTTTCACCGTCACCTCCAATTCTCGCTCCGCCTAGACGAACGGGAGCTTCCGATTGCATGTGCGCCGATATTTCAGCGTCACCGGTGCTTGAGTCAGGCTGGTATCACTTTGGTCTGTTGTATTCGATTGCCCGTTATGTGCAAGTTTCTGTCTATCTCCTGGCATGCTATAGAGGCTACGGCTCAAAACGTATTGTTCTACATTATTATTTGTGCCCAGACCGACTGCACCTAATGCTGAGTGCCAGTTACCAGTGTGTCTAAAGTCATTAGAGAAGAGAGCTGCAGATACCTGGTCAGCCGCAAAGACGTCCTTGTCACATGTAGCTCGATCGTAAGCATCGTCGTGCGACTTGACTAACCATCATGCTCGTCCTCCGGATCTCCGTTGCGCAGTGTATTCCTGGGACCCGTGTGCCAGTGGCCTGAGGACAAGCGCATACAGTTCAGGTTAGAAGATATACAGATGGTAGCGGTAGTGACATGGACCGCTAGACTCTTAGCCGCCTCTATTTGATGTTTAACTGACTGACTGACTGACTGACTGACTGACTGACTGACTAACTATGCCTGACTGACAGACTGTGACTGACTGACTGAACTGACAGCTGTCTCGCTTGCCGTTGTCAGTGTAGTCATAAAGTGCAAAGCATTTTGACTGACTGGATTGACTGACTGTGGCTGACTGGCCGGCTGACTGACTGAGTGACTGAACTGAGAGCTGTCACGCTTGTCGTTGTCGGTGTAGTCCGAAAATCCAAAGAATTCTGACTGACTGACTGGCTGACTGACTGACTGACAGACTGACAGACTGACTGACTGACTGACTGACTGACAGAATGACTGACTGAATGACTGACTGTGACTGACTGAATGACTGACTGTGACTGACTGACTGACTTAGTGACTGACTGACACTCCTACGTTTAAATTCACATATATACCCAGTAAAGTGGCTGGGGCTTTATAGGTTTATGTATGCTTTGAAAAACGACGGGTGAACGTGTGAAAATGTTTATTACTTCCTACGTTTTGGTAGGAGGGCCTGCCTTCGTCAGGAAATACAGGGCACAAGTAAAAACGCACTTATTATTAGATGAGTATGACGGGAGCCCCCAACACGTGCTGAACTGTAACCGTAATAGATACAGCATATATAATATCACTATCAATAAACTAATGCGATATAGTTATGACTTCATGAAAACTTTTTTGGTCAACAGTTTTCAAGTACAAAGTGAGAGCTATGCGCATGTACAGGCTAACTTGTGGACATGAAAACTCTCGTAAGGAAACAAATCAATAAAAAGAGAAATTGACAAAAACATTTTTTTACACTGTCACTGCGGTATATATGCGCAGTGAGCAGTGAGCAATGACTGCGAGCGCGCGCAGCTGACGGCAATGTTTCATCTGGGTGGGCTTGGCTTCATCGTTGTGGTCGGCACAGACAACACTAGAACATGAAGTGGCAGTCTGCCAGAAGCGCCTCTAATGAACGACACTGCAATCTCGCGCTGGGCGGTCTGGGCCACCGTGCGCCTCAGCTTGATAATTTCTAAGTGTGGTTTCTGTTAGGCGTAATTGGCTTTGTCGCTCGGGTCGAACTCGTCCATGCTGCAGCGTTTTCTGACAAATCCTAGACGACAGTTCTCGCGGGCGGCCCCGAATGCATCGCCATGCTCACAGAATCTCCGAAGGCTTGCCTTGTCTACCGACATGGTGAAACTGCTTGATGTGGTGACGCAACATAGAGCAACCAACAGGGTCGTTTGCGCATTGTGAACCGGGTGGATGGACGTTTACGTATGCGCAGGGCCAGCTCCCGCAGTGACCACCTACGTCGCCTGTGATTTTACAGAGTTTTAGTGGTGATCCCCAGTGTTCCCCAGCCACCATTTCAGGAGGCTTCGCAGCGTACAGGCGATAAATCTGTATTGCAAGCCCTTAGGATTGTGCCTGCAGTCTTCAACTTCTCAAGCACGTTGGTGTCTTCTGAAAAGTCGTCTGTCAACAAATGATTATAACACTTATGTTCAGCCAACGAACGCTTCTCACATATGTCAACTTCTGTCTGGTGAGAAAGGATGTTGACTGACTGCGTGGACAGGCATGTTTCCGGTGGTAGTACGTCCAGCACGGCGTTGACCAGTGCCTTCATGTGCTCCAGCGATCGCGACCTTAGGTGAACCTTTTTCTTTCGATAAGGGTGTAAAACGCTTTCCACCATACGAATGTATGCTTGGGTGTCGCATACCAAGGTAGAGACAAAGTGGGATATTCGTCCTATGTTTCTGCCAAACCCGGCTGCTGGGCTTTCTGGCGATGAGCTCCAGTGCGCAGTTCCAACCTCAAGGTTGGCCCCCACCTGTGTTCTACACGCGGTTGTGATCTGGTTAGACGGGAAAGTGGTGGCGAGGTGTTAGGGAATATGGCCGAAAGCAGATGCGAGCTCTCAGCTCCAGCCCGTCCAGCGCTGCTACTTCACACCTTGATAACAGTGCCACACGGAGGCATCTTCCCAAAGGTTGTCTATGGCCACGCACCATTTCTGAGACTCCGTTCATGCCTCGCGCACTGCCAGCGCGTTGATGGTTGATACCTAGTCACCAGCGTTGTTTCCGATGCCGTAGAACTACGGCAGTTAGCTTATGGACGGAGATGATGGGGTGGAACGTAAAAATGCCGAGATCGCTGAGGCGAAGCAGCCGAGCTGGTGTAAAGCTGAGAGTGCCCCTGAGCCCTCGGCAATGCTCAGACTAGCAGGCCTCCATGTCTTGCGAGGCGGCTACATTTAGCATGGTGTTGCTTGCACTCGGGGCTGGTACGATTGCAGGGAAGAGCGCCGAGCTGATCGCTGTCAGTGCGTTGGCCGTAACGAGGAGTCGTGCGATGGTACGCCAGAAATCTACGCCGCTGTCGGGAGTTAAGCCTGACGAGTCGGGGATAACGTTTTCCGAGTCCAGTGTCATTCTCGCACTCACATTTTTTAGATACACGAGCAAGGAAGACTGGACAGCGTTCCTTGGCGGTTCGTGTGTTGGCAGAGTACTGGGAACAGGATGCAGGCCGTTGGATGTGTTGAGTCGCTAGTTTTTGTTTTAATGTGTAGTCTTGCAATAATAATTGTGCTGTTGTCCCACATATACAGGTGTTCTAAAT